TTAAACTGGAAGCTCTTTATAATTAGTGGTTAAAATAAAAGAAGTTTATGGATTAATTAATAAGACGGTTTTTGTAACCTTTTAACTTCCTTTAACCCTTATGTGCATAGAGAATAAATATACTGATACCGCACAGATAGGTACCTTATACTAAAAAACATGTTTTTGTTTTGCGAAAGCAAGTTTTTGGAATTGTTTTATGTTTTATGTTTTGGTTAGTATATCTCTCTGAAGAATTAAAAGCTTTTAAAAAAAATTATATGCAAAAATTGTTTTGTACTGCTTAGGTAGTTTTGTGGAATTGTTTATTTTGGTTTAAATTCAACGCATTGAAATATTTTAGTATTGATTTGGTTTTATAAAGTGTTTGAAGACATGGAGAGCCAAAGGGAATTATGTCGTCATCACATAGCCGAAGAACTTTTTATCAAGATTTAGGACGCAGCCTCGCAATGGGTAATATTGAAAAACACTCGCAAATGCCATATGGCATATATGTTGTAAAAATATTTTCTACCAAAAATTCACTGGAATCGATGATGGGGCATCTACTGGTACCATCAGGGTCATCATTTACTACGGAAAATAAACCTCAAGAATCTAAAGGCCCGAAACCAGTAGTGGGATCATGCTATATTTGCCGAAACAAAAATAAAAAGCAAAGAAAAACCAGAAAATGTTGCAGCGTTTGCAAAATCCCAATATGTGATGAACAAAAAATTATTATGTTTAATCTGGTTCTAATCAATTTTTAATTGCAACTGATCCATTTTTATTTCAGAAAAAACGAATTTAAAGGGAAAAATACAAATAATTTTAATATTATGCTATACTATAGCAGCAATAGTAGTAGAAAAAATCTATTTATTTAAACAAAAGTTCCATTTTATAATACTTTAAGATATTAAAAATCTTTTATATACATAAATATTAGAAATATGTTCTAAAATTTATTTATTAATACAATAAAATATTATTTATTTCAACAAGAACAACTTTGGTATTGCATAATACAAGAAATAACTATATGTATATAAAAGGAAATTATATTAATAAAAACAGGAATTTAAACATTAATAAAATGAGATCTCATATATTTTTATATGTCATTTTATTATATTTTATTATTACATACAACATTTTATAAACAAAAATTGAAACCAACAAGATATTTCAAAAGACGAGAACAAAAAAAAAGCAATGCCGTAACCTCACTTTTTTAATAAATTAGCCAGAGAATTAGTTGGTTATTTTGTAAACTAGCCGCTAATTTAGTTGAAACTACATATTCAATTAAAATAGCTGACAGTTTGGCTAGTTTATAAACTATCCAAGTTTGAACATTAGCCGTAACATATATATATATATACATTTCTTTGATATAATAATATATGTCATATTATATATATATATATACATATATATATATATATATATATATATATATATATATATATATATATATATATAAATTCGCTAGCATCTGGTTTCCTAAAAGCTCCTCTTCTTATATCTCGGGGTATTCACCCAATGACATGAACGTTTGATATAAGGCTCCCAGCTGAAATAAATGAGCAGCGACTGTCTTTTTTTAAGCTACCCTGTCTTTTGGAGATGAATACATTAAAATTAGTTTTGTTCATATAATGGGCATGTTGTCAGCCTCAAAGTTCAATAGCTACCTTTTCTTAATTTTGATTTCTTCACTATTCATCCTCTCAGGTTCTCTACGGATACCTTTAAGGGTAAATGTTTTCTTAAGCATTCTGTTGAGACTCATAATTGTTGATTATGTTCTAATTTTTCTTTTAATTGTTTCAGCGTGATTTTAGGATTTTCCTCTATATATCCAGTCATTAACACTTTATGTTCTTCTAAAATTTTTGCTCTTCTTAGTCCCCCACGTTTTCTTGAAACAGCTTAATACAAATTCAAACAGATTTGTAGTATTTTGTATAAGTAGTTATTCCTTGTATTATGCAATAACAAAGTTGTTCTTGTTGAAATAAATAATATTTTATTGTATTAATAAATAAATTTTAAATTATATTTTTAGTATTTATATAAAATATTTAGTAGGTATTATAAAATGGATTTTTTGTTTAAATAAATAGATTTTTTCTACTCCCACCTTTTAAACGCCCTTTATCTTACATGTTTCCATGACACTAAGTGACCTTTTAAATACACATTGACAAGTTGTGGCTTTATGGCGCTTTAGTCACGGGCTGAAGTTAGCAACAGTTTTTTAGTCACGGGCTGAAGTTTTAAGTTAGTTGACAGTTGTCAAATGTCATACAATCGTTAAAATAAAGTGCCTTTCTTGTAAAATAATACTAAATGTGAAAATTATTTAATTATCTCAATACAAAAATACAACAGTATTAAATAGTTTCTCATCGCCAATATTTGAAAAGTTTATATGAACATTGTACTGACCTTTTATAATTTAAATTCGGACACGGACTCCACTGTAAAGTGCTCATAAAACATTTTTTTTACTTTTACTTTGAAAAACTGTAAATTTTCAAGAAATACATTTCGATTTATAACCTTTATAATCTGTTTTTATAAAATAAAAAAAATTGACATTTGACGGTGACACACAGATTCCCCTATTGTTTCATAAATCGCGCTGTATAAAAATATTTGATTTAAATCATCTTATGATAATAATAAGAATTTGTCGTAGAAAAAGTACAGTATGCACCTCGTTTATAAACTTTTATATACACTCATTAATTTAAGAACTCGCTCGCAAGCTCGCTCGTGCCTAAATTAAATTCGTGTATAAAATGGCGTTTATCAAACTTGATACATAATATACTATTATATACGTTCCCATTGATAAGCTGTGACTTTATGGCCTTTTAGTCACAGGCTGAAGTTGGGAACAGTGGCTTGTGGGCATTTTAGTCTAGGGCTGAAGTTAGCTATATAATAAATTTGGGAAAAGTAAGGTTAATTCCGTTGACAGTTGTCAGATATCAAATGCTTATAAAATTAGCTTTAAATTCTTCTTTTTGTTCCTCGTATATAAACTTTATATTATAAAGTATAGTGTGAAACAATTTTTATCAACTTCTCTAGAGACTCGTTTTTTATTAAACACTCGCTCGCAATCTTCGCTCGTGCCTAATAAAACTTGTAACTAAAATGGCGTTTATAAAACTTGATACATAATATCCCAGATAGCACAAAGGTATACTATGGACGTCCAATGGACGTATGCTCGTGGACGTCTGTATGTACATAGGATGTCCATTTTTTTTCTATGGACGTCCCATGGACATCCGTTTAGAGTCCAGATGTCAGAACTTTGACATCCATAAGTCGTCCACCGATGGACGTCTATAAGGTGTTTGAACCATTCCTCCAGCATCCAGGACCTGCTTTTTTGCTTACTTTAACTGTTTTTTGCGACTGTATTTTCATGTTGCAGAAAATTTTCTACAACATGACTGAAATGCCTTTTGTCTGGCTAAGTAACAATCCCACTAGGAATATAAATATTCTAAAAGTTGTTAAAAGTTACAACATTCAATGTTGAACATTGCAGGAAATCCTTTTATTCGGCTCAGGAACATTACATTTGCAACACTACAAGTGTTTAACATTTTATTGATAGCTTAAGTCCTTTATAGCACGCGCTTGCTTGAATGTCAGTGAGATTGATCATAACTGTTGTTATGCAGCCAACAATACGTTTTAACTTGCATTTCTGTAATAATAATTATGGACGTAAAATGGACACTATATGGACGTCCACTAAAATCGTACAAAGGATGTAAATATATGGACGTACATAGTACATCCATTTTTAGTCCGTGGACCAATGTACTTAAAATGGATCTTAAACGGACGTCCATTGGACGAATGGTGCTATCTGGGATACTATTATAGATGCATAAAAGCAGCCCTTTCCATGTATATATATTAGGGTGTCCCTTATTTTTTATTTTTTTACGCATACCCTCTAATTATATTTATTACGTGTTTATAAACTCCCAGTAAAAATTTCAGCTCATTCTATAAACGGGAACCCGTGCCGACTTGCATCTGAACCCTCCGTTAAACGCGCGGTATTTTGTAACACGGTTGGCCGCTAGGTCTTCGATCGTAAGTCATTTTGTGTTTGTTATTATGTGACCCTCATATTATAAATTATTAAAAAATGTTAAAATATAGTTTTATTTATGTGTATACTTTGATAAAAATGTATATTTTCAAAGGGAGTGGCTAGTTACCCGGAAGGGTCTAGTGAATAGGCCGTAAACTCTGAAATTGATAAACTTAATGGGATTTACTCTAAATAACTAAAAGAGTCTATTGTGAGAGATGACTACCGAAAACTGTCTGAAATATTTTTGGGAGGACATTAAGAAAAGAAATGCTTATAAAAAGCTGAAATTTCATATAACAGTATATTTTAGCAATACTAATTAGTATATTAATATATTTAAGGGATAAAATCAACTAATTTTTTTTTTGGTTATTTTTTAATTGTCATTCAGATATAATAAAAAAAAGAGTTTCGGGTAATTAGTTTTACGGCCTTCCGGGTAACTAGCCACTTCCTGTAAAAATATTCATTTTTATTAAAGTATACACATAAATAAAACTATATTTTAACATTTTTTAATAATTTATAATATAAGGGTCACATAATAACAAACACAAAATGACTTACGATCGAAGACCTAGCGACAAACCGTGTTACAAAATACCGCGCGCCTAACGTTGGATAACGGAGGGTTCAGATGCAAGTCGGCACGGGTTCCCGTTTATAGAATGAGCTGAAATTTTTACTGGGAGTATATAAACAAGTAATAAATATAATTAGAGGGTATGCGTAAAAAAAATAAAAATAAGGGACACCCTAATATATATATATATATATATATATATATATATATATATATTTATACATACATCATACAGACAATACAACCTATATGAAAAAATTAATAAAAATCATTGAATTGTGTTTAAACACTTACCAATAAACGTCTTCCAGACTGAAAACCTCCAAAGCCAGTAATCGTGAATAGTAATGCTGAAGACTAAACTTGGTCAACCACTGTCGCAGCACGAGCCTCTGCTGAAGAAGTAGGGCGGCCTTCTGAAGACGTTGCTCGTCGGGCGCAGGTAATTCGGGAAGCTCCCCTAGCTGAGTGCACTGACTCAACTGAGAGATTCCTGAAAAGAAAAAAATGTTTTTATATTATAATTTATGATTTTATTTATAAATAATTAATATTATCTTTAAGGGGTGTATAAATTAAACTTTATTGTCGTCAACACTCAACACTGACGTGATTGATTATGGCATAGGCACATAAAAATCAGCATATAGATCAAAACTTGAATGAGGCTGGTAATTAAATAAATAGGTGATTGGCGGATTCTATTATTCACTGTGATTTGGACCAATCGGGTTTTAAATTGGGGAAAACTTTCTAGCTACTTCATACACTCATAAATTTCGACATTTGTCAGACGAATCAAACCTCACTTTTTACTTTAAATAATTGTATGTTTTATGTATCGCTTGACAAATAAAATTATCTTTAAATTCTTAAAAACATTACAACTACAAGATGAAATGTTGTATGCAATTCGGAACAGGTCTTTTTGTTATTTGCTTGATTTTAGGCCTCCACTACTTTAAGCTCACCGCAAAAAGACTCACTTCTTGGCCTAATAAATAAATAACCATCAATTTAATGTATTTAGGTAAAAAAAATAATTTTGCTCATTAGACCATTAGGCCATTTCACAGACACATGTGCCTTAATAATAAAATCTATACAAAATTAAATATGTTTATACAATAAAAAACCTATAAAATGTAAAGTAATTATTTTTTAATACAATTTTTAAAATGTTATTGTAAAATAAATAGGTAATAATATTAAAATTATTATTTATTATTTTAATTACCCTGTTGTAATAATAAAATTTAGTAAAGGTTATATGTCTTTTTTTATTTTGAGAACCTTTTTTATAACGTATTATAAAATTATCACGTTAGCATACATATAGCATACGTAAGCAGAATAAAATGTACTTATAAGTACATTTTATACTGCTTTAATTTACAAAAGTCCTTTAAAAATTCTCATTTTTTTAACAATCAATATTTGACTTAAATGTATACATGTAACCGGCCATTTTGGCATAAAATTACCTATGACTTTTTTACACAAGATATTCGAGATCTAAAATAGTATATTATGTAGGAAGATTGATAAACGACATTTTAGACACGAATTTAATTTAGCGAGCTTACGAGCGAGTTATTAATTAAATAAGTGTCTAAAAAGTTTATAAACGAGTTGAATACTATACTTCTTCTACTACAAATACTTATTATTATCAAAAAATGATTTAAATAAAATATTTATAAAGAGCGACATCTATAAAACAATACAGTAACCAACTTGGGAATATGTCAAATGCAAAATTATTATGTGTAAATCGAAATGTATCCCTTAAAACCGTTTAATCCGGAATATAAGCAGTTTTTTACAGTAAAAGAAAAGAAAATGTTTTATTGGGACTCGGTGAAGTCTCCAACCAAAATTAAGTTAAATCTAGCTCACTAAAATAAATAATAAAAATTTAAAATCGAATAAAATCAGTAATATTTGGATTTTTTAAATAAAATTTTAAATTTGTCGATAAATATTATATATTATTAAAATAAAAAAATATTTAAAAAGGTATAAAACCTGTAATATTTGGATTTTTTAAATAAAATTTTAAATTTGTAGATAAATTATAGTAGATAATAAATTGCACCACTTTAATTTGAATTATCTCAAATAGGGGGGCCTGGAGGCGGGTGAGGCGATAGGAAAAACAAACTTTTTTTCGCAAACATAAATTTAAATTCTGTTTGCGCCGAACTTGTCTATTTAATGTCATTATAAACTATTATAAATTTGGTGCGGGTCCCATGTCTAATAACTGAGATATTGGTATACATATAATCCACCAGCCGCCACTGACATATATACATAATATATATATACATTATATTTACAGTATGTTTGGTCTTGTGGTTAGCTAACTCCTATAGGATACCTGGCTCTAGGGCAAATCTTTTTAAACACCCGTAAAAATTCAGAGCAAAACGGACACTACAGTATACTTCGCACGACAGTTAATACAACTATTTTCTAACACCAAAAAATATGAGTTAACATATATATAAGCGCAAAAAATCGGCCGTCGCTACCCAACGCAGTCAGTCAAACCACACCTTTAAGGGCCAAACACCATGCCTTTACGGTCAGGCGTCACATCTTTAGGTCCGGCGCCACTTCTTTATAGCCAGGCCCACACCTCTTCGGTCAGGCGCCACACCTCTTCGGTCACGCAATGCTACCGAAGTCCACCAGATGGCGCGCGCGTTGCGAAAACCCGATACTTCTTTAGTGTATATTATGAACAATATCTATTGACAAATAAAATTGATTTTTTAAATTTAAATCTACTAATTTCACTATTTCATTCAGTAGAATTTGACTAATTATTAGTGACTGCTTTTCGCTATGACAATTAGTCAAATATGACTTATAATTAGTTATTTTTGACTAATTTATTTTAAGAGAGTATATTTTAAATATGCAACCAAAAAATTGCATGGTCCAACCCCTTGCATTAACATTAATATTTAGTTTATATTATTTTATTTATTAAGTTAAGTTTTTAATAACTAAATATGTTTAGTGTGTATTTTTTAAATATATTAGCAATTATACACAATGCAATAAATATTTTGTTTAAATTAGTATGAGTATAAGTATAAGAGACGTATAACCGGCCCCATTGCCTTATCGCTCCCAGGCCCCGTACAGGTTTCCTTACGCCGATTTTCTTTCCCCAACAGCAGCTTCACCCGTGTTTGCTTTGTGCGAATGTCACTTGTGTCCCTTACTGTCCCCTATTTAAGGCTCCACAGCAAAATGCCAATAGTTTAAATAGCCTCTCCCGGATTCGCCGGGCCGTTGCTATACGCCCAGTAGGGTCATGAAGGAGGTAGGACGGGAGAGATAGACATTTTGGTGTTTGGGGGACAATTACGCCGCCTCAAATCTAAGTACGACGCGCTATCCCCCTAGAACAGGCAATTAGTATTACTGCAAACATTTGGGATTACTCTTTGGAGTTGGGAAGTTGTTATTTTGCTACAGGGGCCTACGTCTTGTTCTAGGTTTTGGTTGTTATTATTCGTATCCGTGTCCAAGTCGGATTGTTTCTGCACTTGTGTGGCCGGGTCGGGCCAGGTTCGCTGAAAATTACCATGCTGAAAATTCGGGAACCGCTGTACGTCGATTGTCTGTCCCCACTGTGCAAAACCATTTCTTCAGTCTTGAGATCGAAAATTATCGATAGATAGTTCAGTAGTCGGCCATGTAACTACCGATAGTTATCGATAGGCTTTTAATTTTGAATGTTTATTACCGCAGTAGTGCGAAATTTTCTAGTAATTTTTAGTTATTGTGTTGCCCAAGCACGTTTTGTGATAGAATTGTTTTTTTTGCCTTTTCTAACATTAAGGTATTACATTTATATAAGTTAAACAAAAGGTAAGCGCAATCAGTACCGCTTGTACCAGTCAGACGTATATTTCTATCGCTCCACAAAGGATTAAAAAATAATCAGTACCTACATTTAAATCCAGAATCCCTAAAAGGTAATTATTCTATAAGATTTAGTTCAACAGTGTATAGTTCCGCGGATCCCAATGTGCATAATCACCCCATCGACCAGGACTAAAGTGCAAAGTGTATCCTGTCACCCTGCCATCCATTTGTTCAATGTGGCGGGAAATTGATATCAATTAAAGGAAACAAGGGGCATCCGCAAAATTTTCGGATAAGTATTTTATTAATATTTGCACGTGGCTATTAGCAATACTAAAAACCAACATCGTAATAGATCAAAAAATACCTAGGTATTTTATACATGCCTATACAGCAAAGTAAGTTCGACTTAAAAATTAAAAAAACAAGCATACCCGACCGAAGGACGTGACTCGAAAGTCAATAAACCCATAAATCTTAAGTAGGTAACATACGAAACCAATTATTAATCATCTAACAAAAACATAAACAAATAAACCTTAAGTAATAGTCTTCTGCGAGCCTAAAATAGTGTATATCTTTAATCGTTTGCGGCCAACAAAAAATTATTTTTTGAGTTAAATGACCCATAAAAACAAAGATGCAAAAAGTTTAGCTCAAAACAGCAACACAAAAAATATATTCAATTGGTGGGACAATTACGCCGACTGAAATCTAAGTACGACGCGGTATCCCCCTAGAACATGCAGTTAGTATTACTCCAAACATTTGGGATTACTGTATGGAGTTCGGGAGTTGTTATTATTGCTGCAGGGGCCTACGTCTTGGTCTACGTTTTGTGTCCGTGATCAAGTAGGATTGTTCCTGCACATGTGTCGCTGGGTCGGGCCGTGTCTGCTGAAAATTACCTTACTGAAAATTTGGGAACCGCTGTACTTCGATTCAATAGGATTGTCAGTAGTCGGCCATGTAACTACCGATAGTTATCGATAGCTTTTGTTTTGTTTTTTAAATGTTTATTACCGCACTCTCTTAAAATGAATAAGCCAAAAATAACTAATTTAAAGTCACTAATAATTAGTAAAATTCCACTGAATGGAATATTCAAATTAGTAGATTTAATTTAAAAAAGTTTTGACCCAGACGGGGTCTGTCGCTTGTCAAGCTTGTCAAGCGGATGTCATAACCAATGCGCTATCAGTCACTTTTATAAAAATCAATTTTTTGTCTATAAATATTCTTAATATTTTATAGTTGAAGCAACGGCCCGGCGAATCTGGAAAAGGCTATTTAAACTATTGTCATTTTGCTGTCGAGCCCTAAATATGGGACAGTACGGGACACAATGGACATTCGCGCCCAGCAAACACGATTGAAGTCGTGCTGTTGCTGGTGGAGAACGAAAATCGGCGTGAGAAAACAGAGGCCTATGCGGGGCCCAGGAGCGATGAGGCAATGGGGCCGGTATACGTCTCATACTCATACTCATAAACAAATGGTAAGCGCAATTATTCTATTATACTATTTTAGGCTCGCAGAAGACTATTACTTTTGTTCGATATATTGTTATTATTAAGGTTTATTTGTTTATGTCAGACGATCAGT